AAACTGAAACGGAATGGAAGCCGAATCGGAGACGGAGACGAGGGAAACTTTTCCCAGTAATTTCAAATGAAAACCCAATTTTTGCCGGCGGTTTCTGGTTTACGTTGCTTTGAAAAGTGTTTCTGGTATGCAGTGACCCTCTCTCCATTCTCCATTCTCCATTCACGGTTTTATTGGACTTTAATCTTTTGCGTACTGATTCGGCAACTTATTACTTAAGTTCCCGCTAAATATTTCAATAAACTTTCCTCCGAAAAGTTCGCCAAGCACTGGCGGGACTCCCCGGGACTCCCCGGGCGATAGCTAAGCTTCTTTCGAAAATCGATGATTCCAGCTGTTGGGCGATAATCTAATCTGCCACAATGTTTCCAAGTCGAACGAATCAAACGAAGAAAAAACAACAAAAATTGCAATAAAAATCCATTTCCATATTCAATTTGCTTAAGTGGAGACCGGCCCTGCTCAGCCGCTATACTTTCCTCCCACTTCTCCGCACGGAAAACGGCTGAAAAATGAAAATGAGTTGGACGTATAAATAATGCCAAGGGATGTATGCCGGAGATGTAGGACGAGGAGTGGGAGTAGGGAGTAAAACTATTGCCAGTTCGTCAATGTCAGCAATTTAGTGAAAAGCCATGGCCGTAGTTGTAGTCATAGTGATAGCTGCGAGTATAGCGAGAGAGACTCCTAAACTCGTATCAGTGTGGATCATTTATGCGCTTAATACTCTTGCAGGAAAACCCGAACCGACCCCCCGACCTTTGACACCCGACCCCTGACCCCACCGGAAGGTCCAAGGCAGTAGTCCGTTTTGGTCTGACCAAAATGGCATTGTGTGACACATTTCCATTTTGGGGAATTTCTTCATTTCTGCTTTGTTGCGCTTCTTTTATTTACTGCAAAACAACGAAAGGGGGAACAACGCAATGACCGATGGAGGAGGTGGATGGAGGGTGGCGGATGGACAGGAAAATAGTAGTGAAAATTGTGAATAATGCTGTGGGGAGAACTATGGGATGGCAGGAAAAGTGAAAAGCGTAGAGACTAGGTGGAAGTGAGAAGTACAAGCGCACGTTAAATTGAATTTAACGTGAAATTCAGCCAAACGAAATGAAATTTTTCCTGTCGCAGTGTCTAACAAGAAGGAAAACTAACACAAAAACAAAAAAAAAGAAGAGAATGCTGAAAGAGAATTGAAAAGAAAATGAAAGAAGGGCGAGCGAAAAGCGTGTTAACCGGAGATGGCAAAAGATGCAGGGAGTGATGGGGTTTTAGATATTATCAAGAATAATACAAAAAAAAAATATATATAGTACGATATATAAACTCGTGGATGGCAAACACTTCAATCGAAGCAGGATGAAACGAATCGAGTCGAATCGCATCGAAACGCGTGGAATCGAGTGGAAATTTCAAGCACAGGGAAAGAGTGGTGCCAAGCGAAAGCGAATCGAATATTTATTGCCTTTATTAGCGAGTCGATTGAAAAATTTACTACGCTCAAATTCTATCTGAAACGCTTCGCTTCTCTCAGAGAAATGAGGTCCTGGTAGACGAGACTGGTGCCTGGGCATTGTGTGCCACGAGTACTCTCAGCAGTTCATCTTTTCGTGAAAAATTTCCCACTTTTAGCGGTGTGCTGGCGCTTCACATACATATATGTACACCTGCTGAAGCGGCAGCGACTGCTTCAGCTTCAGCTTCTGCTTCATTCTGAAGGGGCACGCATTTTTGAAATGTTGTTAGCAGTTGGCTGCAGCTTGTTTTCCACTTCCATTTCGCAGGGATGTTTTCCCTTGTTAAGCTCCTTTATTGTTCTGTTACTACCGTTGCTGCTCTTCCAATTTGTCTTCAAAATTTGGCGCGGTATCACAAAACTTTTTTTAGAAAACATTTTAGTTTTCAGCGTCATTTGATTATTTAATTTTTAAACACATTTTTGACGGTTTTCAATATCCTGAAATCGCAATCTAAATGATATTTGATCTATTTTGCAAAAGAAATAATCAGATATATATATTCTTTTAAATAACACTAATGAGAGCTCCTTAATATTCAACAGGGTGCCCTTATTGCCAACATCCTATCCTCTTCTCTTTAAGTTCAGTGTGGCGGTCAGCTAAATCGACAAATTGTGCCATTTCTGGAGCTTCAGAAACATGTTTCCATGCGTCGTGGAGAGCTTACCCACTGCCCAGACGAATGCACCCTCGAGGACCGACCCTTACATGCTCGTCTGTCTGTCTGTGTGCTGTTTCCCCCATAGACCGACCATAAAGGACACTCGCACTGCCATGCCGATCTGCATCTGTCAGCGTATTTCCTGCCAGTTGCCTGTCTGTCAGTTGTCTTGTCTGCCTGTGTGCGTGTGCATGTGTGTTTGTCTTTGGCAGTTTAGCTAATTACATTCCGGAAATAAAACGTTGACTGATTGTGCCAATAAATGAAAATAATGACGCACCATTGACTGCAAACTCCAGGTTGGGGCGGACGGGAGGTCCAACTCTTGGCAAACTTTTTCGCCAGAGTTTACTTCGAGAAGAGACCTTTGCCGAAAAACCAGAAAGAAAAGTTATATAGTCTGTCTGTCTGTATGTCTGGCTGGGCTGTATCCTCTGCAGCGGCTGCTCTGCTGTTTCTTCATCTTCATCTTGCCCTTCACTTTCCTTTTCTTATTTTTTTTTTTGTTCGTTCTTCTGTTGGTTCTTGACGAGTTTATTTGCTCGTGCAGCGCTAACTGATTGTCTGTGATTTTCTTGTTTTTAGATAATGAAAGCTGGAGCAATCTGCGGCTGCTGCTGCTGCTGCGGGTACATATAAGTAAAGGCCTCGCAAGTGTAACTTTTTATAAGCGACCCAGCAACAGAAATTGCTGGCAATTTATTCACATATCCAGAAGGGATAAGACAAATTGTGGGAAAACAGGAAAAAGTAGAGGGGAATTAACGTGGATAAATGTATGATGGTCTTGTTTTCATTGCCTGATATATGGGATACGCAAGTTTTACAGTCCCAAACGAAACTTAAACACTCGAAAGCCCTTAAGGTCCCTTAGTCCTACCCCAACAAATGCTGGAAAGGTCAGATCTTAAGGGGGCGAGCTCTCGAATGTTTGGCTCGCCCGAAAGTATGCTAAGTATTGGCCGCACGCCCCAACCTGCTGCAGCCCGGCGGTGCGGTAGAGCGAGTGCTGCATATGAAAGGGAAAGTTCCCGGCTGAGAGGGCACAGAACGTAGCCCCCAACTAATTTCGGCACAATAACCCAAATTGAAGCGGTTTTCTGGCGTTTGTTTGCAGTCGCCAGGGACGTCGCTCGGAACTAAACGAATCGCAACTTGACGCTCCGCGTTCGGCTGTGTGCTGCAAACAGAGAGAGACTCGGGAGAGCAGAGCAGGGAGAGAGAGTCAGGTTTCGCGCACAAGCAGAAGCTGCGTTGAAGGAGAGCGAGAGAAAGCTACAGAGCCGGAAGAAGTTGATGCTTGGAAAAATGTTTGCCATAAAAAATCTGTAACAGCTGTTGATGGCGGACCACGATTTGAATGTACGTATTCCATCAGTGAATCAGATGAGTAAGTTCTGTCTAATTTTCCCTGTGATAAAACATTTAAGATGGATGATATCTCAGTCGAGTAGTGAAGTTTGGAATGTATTTTCAATGTCACGTACTGCACTTGACGGTGCAGAACTATCATAGAATAACTGTCGAGTGCCGATTTGTATCTGAAACTATTTATATATTACAATATTATTGAACGACCTAATTCTATCCTTCCTTCACTACTTCTTAATCACTAGCTTCCATCAATTATTATTATGCAATTATCTTATGTAAAAAAGTTTTGTATCCCTGTCGACGTTGCCCGATATTTTTTTTTTAAGCTTATATGGACAAAAATATGTCTGACCGCCAAGTTCTGCACGTTAATTCTAGATAAATTGCGGTCAATCGAGGATCCATCGGTCCATCGTATCACAAATTACAAATACAACAAATACTCTATAGGTTTGAGGGTAACCCATTCCTCAATATGGACCATTCTCCCGGAAGGGAGATGCCATAATATGCTATAAAGAGCGCATAGAAAGACATACACAGAGAGAAGGAGAGAGAGAGAGAGCGTGCCACGAAGCCCGTGCAGACTGCGCTGCTGCTGTCACTGCCTGCCGCCTGTTTCGTGGCATGTCCTCCATCGTTGCTTCAGTCGCGTGCGAAAGCGTAAAGTAAACAGACAAGCACTGTCCAAGAGGCAGAGCAGCAGAGCAGCAGAAGCACTCTTAAACACTGGGTGCAAAAAGTATATGAGCTGTGCTAGTGCCGACAGCAACAATAGCAATAAAAACACAAAAGAGCGACAAGGAAAAGGCATCGCTAAGGAGCTGCTGCCAGCGCCGACGTCGGCTTGGGTCTGGCTGTGACGGAGCTCTGCTCTGGTCATATCCTCCTTCTGGGAACGCGTCCGTCAGTTAATTTCTGACCACAGCGGGAACGGGTTCGGTTCGGTTCGCTTCGGTACGCTTCACTTCGGTTCGATCTGATCGGAGTTATTCTTCCCAGATCTGTAAGGGAGTCCGATTCGGTGAAGTTCTGGTGACGTGACTTGACGCGTCATCGTATACGCAATGTGAGATTTGTTTCCGCTTCCGGAATGAATTATGAGTTCCACGAATGCTAAACAAGAAGATTTCAGTGTGTGGACCACAAAGGTGACAGTGGAGAGTGAGTGAGGTGGACACCAAATCAGTGGAAGAATAACATACCAAAAACTAACAAAATAAACGACAAATCGGAAAATTAAAAAAGAAAGAAAAACATATAGATTAAACTCATAGTTAAGAGTAAAATATGCATTGCTATGAAGTTAATGGCATTCGAGATTCATTGAAAATGTGTATTAATCAATTGAGAAACTGCATTTAATTAAACTGAAAATTAACAAACGAAATCTCATGGCAAAACCCATTCGCAGAAAAACATATTAATTAGAATGCAATGAACGGAAAATACAGTGGACAAAAGCACTGATACTAAAGCGTTGATAAATTGATTTACATATGCAAAACAATTGACAGCAACAGCAGCAGCAGCAACAACAATAAAAAAATCAACAATTTCCGAGTGCATCAAACCGATTTCCCATCAACAGTTGCTGCCACAAAAGCAGCAGCAAGAGCGCGAAAAATGCCGGCATCAAGTGGATTATATCGCATCAAGAGCGGCCGTGTCCTTGACAGAATGCAAAAGCCAGCGGCACTTATTTTTATTGCATGCATTGCGGCATGTGGCGTTTGCGGTAAATATGGCACAAACACAACCACAACTAGCAGAAAAAAACACTCCCCCACACTGGGTGCAAAAAGCACACATACCCTCCCGCTTCAATACTTTCCCCGCAAATCCGCAAACACAAGTCCATTTTATATTCATACGACAATTACGACCATACCATCAAGTGTTTGCGAACGGACCCGAACCCGACTACGAGTCCGAACGTATAATTAAGTTAGGGCTCGAATGTAGTAGAATGCCAATGGAATGAAATATTGTCAAAAGGCATAACGCATTTTCAAAATATAGCATATAACTATAGGGCAAAGCTATAACTTCCTTGATACTAGCTGACATTTTTATTGAGTCTTAAAGAGTCTCCAGTTTCATTGAAATGTTTTAACAAAACTTAAATTATTCTCCCACAAAGACTTGTTTTTTTCCGCTCATAATACCCTCTTATAGCTCCTATCTTCCTTAAAGCACAGAGTCTCCGGTTTCGTTGAAATTTTTTTACAAAATTAAAAATATTCTCCCACAGAGATTTGTTTTTTTCCGTTCATAATACCCTGTTCAATAAGTATGATAGAAGATAAATCGTTAATTTGTTACATTTCATTGGCCTTGTCGAGCAGAATGACAGGTCAGGGATTGGGCGGGCGCAACGCTGGCAATTGCTGGTGGCGGCGCGGAAATCGTGCATCACCTGTCAATGCCTGACACAGCAACAACAACGAGAACAGCAACAATATCCGTGAGAACAACGAGAACACTTGTCTACAACTCTCACTGAAGGCGGGTGTCCCTGCTTCCCCTGTCGCCTGTCCCCGTCTGCTGTCTTGCCTTGGTCTCTGCCCCAGTCCCCCATCTCCACCGACTGGCAATTTGTCAAGCAATCTACAAAGCCAGAAATTGCCACGCCAATGGAAAAATATAGAGAAAGTGGAAAGAAGAATGCTAGAGGGGCAAAGACCAAATGTTTTGTTGCCAAATCATTGAAACAAATACAAAAACTGGCCAATTCAAATGTGTCTGTCGAAGACTTGATACCCTTTCAATTCGAATTGAAAACAACTTTTCTGGAATTATATTCATAGCACATTATGGACAGAATGGAATTTTAAAGAGATTAAAATTTTTGACAGTTCATTCGTTTATTTTATGCCTCGATCGATATTTTATACTGAGAAAGCAATTCCCCTATGAGAAGAATGAGGTTTATACAACTTTTTAAACATACCCTTTTATAAACATAATCTACCAAATATATACATATGAACATACTTAAAATGAGGTCAGATGTACCCTATGCAAGGGCATACGAGGATATTCAAGAAAACCTATCGAATAAGCGCCATAAAGAAGGGGAAAGCGGGCGGTAGAGTGGCAGGCCACCAATATGTGCAAACTAGAACACTGGCTGTGCCACATTCTGTGCGTGCCCCCGAAAGTGAATGGGCCCGGGCGGGGAGGTGTCTGTAAAATCGTCACACAAAAAAACATCGCCTTCTTCTCGCCCCTGCCCTCAACACACACATATTTACTCATGCACTCACTGCAGCCCGCCTCAGGGGCAGCTCTGAGCACACTTCTGGCAGATCCACAGCACAAGCAGCAGAACTGGCGCATCCATTGTTGCATGCCACGTTGTGCCGCCACTGTGCTGCCTTTTGGGGCACACTCCAGCTGTCGCTGTCACTGTCAATGCTGTAATGAAAAATGCACAAAAAGCAAAAAACAGAAACCAAAACAGAAACAGAGACGGAGACGGACACAGAAACGGAACCCAGTGATGGAAAATGAAAATAGAAATAAAATGAAATGCTTAGAGCTTAGTGCACAAATGAAAAAACAATTTCTGCTGTTCATGCCGCTTTTTATTTAGAGCGCATTAATATTTAGCCAGCACAGCGTCATCTATAGGTATTACTCGCACGCTTGTGGCTGTGGCATGTAGGTATATATACATATGTAAATATATTCGAGATTCATATAAATCAATAGTTTTATGCCCCGCGTGCATGTCTGGGGACTGGGTTCGGGGATTTGAAGGCCAGCAGTGCACCACTTGTACCCCAAATACATTTTCCCCGCTCCACCCAAAACAAATCTGCAGCTCAATAGCTCCAAATATTTGCATAAATATTTGGAAAATTCCCCACACTGCAGCTAGTATGCAAAGCAGCAATTTCATGGGTTGACAAATATCTCCCCGAACCTTACCTTCCCGAAGAATATATCAGAAAAGAAATAAAAACACCTTTGATAGATGAAAATATGAAAATGAATAGTATAGATATCCCATGATTAAATAATTTTTGATATATATATTTTCTGCAATATTCTATTATTTATTGACATTTACTTTTCATTATTTAAATGAACAGAACAAATTTTTATCTATTTAGTTGATTACTGGGACCCCCGTTAGATTTCCCTTTAGCTTTGAAACCCTTGCACTAGCAATAATTTATAAAATGGACCAAAAACTTCCATCAGACAGATCGAATCCAATGTTGCCCATTGCGGCTTCCAATCTAGTCTGATCTGTCCCCAGTTCCACCTCCTGCAGAGCTGCTGACACAGCATTGTAGGAACCACGTGGCTCAAATGCCTGCGAAACAGTCGCATATTGACGGCAGTTGTAGTTGTAGTTGCAGTTACGTTCTATCCTATGTAGTTCCGTAGAGCATCGCATCCCCCAGTTAGTGGAGTTAGTAGAGCATGACGATGCCATGGCATCAGAGCCAACATCCCGCCTGCCGTCGAGGAGTTGCATGTGTTGCTGTGTGGGCGATTGTGGGGATGTAGAGCCACCCTGTTCGAAATTGTCAAATTGCTGTGAAAGTCGGGCACAAAGTTAAATCCATTGAAGCTGCCTGAGGGGATAGGTGGCGGGCCACTTGTGGCAAGTCGGGTTAATTGGGCTAACTATCGTATGTATAGGATGCCGCTGCGGAGGCTTTTCCGGGAGGCTGGGCGTTTGTTAATTGCCACCGCACCGAAATAAGACCATTTCCGTGTCCCGTGGCGATGGAGTGCCATGGATGTAGGTGGGGGGAGGAAACTTATTAAGTGTATTGGGTTGCATGAAATACCAGAGGAATTAGATACATACTATATGTGTCTATATCAGTATATTGCGGCTGTGTATCCTAAATGAATAAAGAACAGATGTTAGTATGCACGTGTAATTCGACGAAGAGCATCTAGGGTTATTGTATTGATTTTAATGTAAAATACACTCAAAACGGCTATCATGCACTCATGTCCGTTGCATGAAAGAATTTTGTAATTGATTGCCATCTATCACATTGCAATCATTCAGTCCATCATTTTGTAATCTTCTATCCTATATCATTTAAGTAGCTGCGTTTCATCAGATGTTCTATCTATCCTTAAATTAATCTACTACTTATGCACTTATCATCTCATATTTCCATTTCATAGTTCTTTCAATATACTAATCAAGCTGTCCACCACTTCTGTTTTCCTTGAAGTTTTTCAGTTTTTCACGAGAAAATAAATCAAATTTCTTTTCGATTGAGCTCTCCATCTCCATATCTCTATCTCTCTCTCTCTCTGTCTCTCACTCTGTTTTTTTCTCTTTATACATCTAGGAATATATCTCTAATTGGGTGGGCAATCGATTTACAATGGCGGCAGTGACAAAGCGAATGCAGTTTCACACGGGGATAAAAGGATTCATTTGTTAATGACACAAGATGATTGACGAGCATGACAAAGAGGGCCTGGGGTGCATCGAGGCATGGGTTGCATCGAGCTATGGGGTGCATGAAATGGGTGGGTGCTGGTGAAAAGGAGCATTTACCCATATGTCTTCATTGGCGGCACAATAATTTTGAATAAACTGAAGGCAGAGAGGCACGGGCAATGCGCCTTCGTGCCAGGGATCTGCAACCCACCCCGGGTCAAGGCCTACACGTTATTGCAGGGTAAGGGCTGTGGAGGAGGAGGCACATACACACATGCTTGGGTAGCGGTAAATGCAACGGTAACATAGCCATAAAGCTCACCTGTTACAAATGCAACACCACATGGACGTGGGTCCTGCCAGGGATGCCTCTGGCCTGGTCTTGGCTCTGGTCCTGTCCCGGGCTCGTGTGCTGCGGCAGCCATAATAATCAGCACAAAAACTAATGGTCCCACATACACACACACATGCACGCAGGGGCACCCAGCAATACACACACACTCACTCGAAAACTGAGAGAGAGAGAAAGGGCGAGCGGGAGGCGCACACACACATGGCTGCACTTTAAGCGCTGAAAGCACGTAAATTTTACATAATTCAAAGGAGGCGCCGCCTTTTGGCAATGGCAAATGCGAAGACATAGACATCTATAAGTGTGTGCATGTGTGTATGTGCCATATGTGTAAGGAATGTGGATGGATGGAATGGAGCAACTAGAACACTAAGATACATTTTGGTTGCACACTCAGTAGCCAAGCGTAGAAATTCCAGCCCCGTCAGCATTCTCCCCGTTTGCAAGGCTCCAATTTGCAACTTTTCACCTCTTTTTTGCACTCCCATTTTCAAGCGGGCAGCTTTCTTGCCCAGATCCTGGCCAGTCACGGCGAGCCATTAAGGACAAGACAAAGCCAACCTGGCCAGAACCCATAGTCACATCCATGGCGCGACCCCAGCCTAAGTCGATGCAAATGGTTTTGTGATTTACCTTTTGCTGTTTTTCCCGTTTTCCCTCAGTTTTTCCACCAATTTCGCTGCGGAAAGTTTCCACCGAACCGCCGCAGCAGAAAGCTGCCCATCATCGCGTATCGACAGAGGCAGATTATGATCTTCCCAACACTCCATTCCATGGCCGGTCAGCACTCCACATTTGGGCTAACAAGCTTTTTTTTATTTGGGCATCTTTGACAAGTGGCAGGCCCTTTGGTTTATGCAATTACAACTTGGGCTGGCGGCTGCACTCGAAACTCGCGGAAAGTTGGCCCTGAGAGCGACCCAAGGGTCAGTGGAAGGGAAATGTTGTTTCAACATTT